TTTCATTAAGCTAACCCGAACTTATATTTTGACGGGTTGCCATGAAGAACTTTGTTCTGTAGGTCTATGTAAATGATATGATGATAGTTTTACTCCAATGAAACTATCAAATGCTCATGAAGTGAGGAGTCAGAGCAGTTCTGGAGATGTTGTTCATGTATTTATGTCCTCATGTAGTGAGATAATATCGGCGCCGATAATCAGTCGACCCCTATACCAAACCTGCCCTGAGCCTCCTACAAGACACAAGTCTGAAGTTAAAATGAAAACAAAACCCAATTTTCTTAGGCATCTTAGCAGCGTTTAAAGCTACATTTGTATTAGGTTCTGCAAATGTTTTACAATTGTATGGTATAAACGTAACTTACAAACGTCCCTGTGACGAGAGGGGCGGGGCCGAGAGCCGTGGGAACGGAGCGAGGCCGGCGGAAGTATAAAAGGAGGAGTGACGACAGTGTTGGACAAGAGAGGACCAGGCCTGGATTTTATTTTATGTTTTGTGTGCGGCAGTCGTCCGCGAGGGGCTGCCGCTTTACTTTCGTTTTGTGTTTGTTTATTTTATTAAAGTTTGAAATGTTCGCCGGTTCCCGCCTCCTTCTTCCCGTGACTACGAACTTTGTTACAGTCCCCATAAAATCCCCATAAAAATAATAATAATAGTAGTAGTAGTAAAATTACACTGCATTTTGACACTGAGTTGGACAATCAAGTAAATGCAAGTGGTTATCATTATCTACCTTAACTCACATTATTTATTAGCTAACTAAAGGTGTCTGATAAACGACAGTCATGGACAAATTACATTGCCAGGCATTTCCAGGGCCGTAACTGTAAACTCTTATAGCTGATTATTGCCTAATACATGCATGTATGAAAGTCCTTTTGTTGTAATTCACCGTTTTTTGTTGTACAAACTAGAGCCCGGCCGATATATCGTTTTGCCGATATTATCGGCTGATATGAGCCTGTCGCCGAATATGCTGTCGATATGAAAATTTTTACTGAACATAACGCAGATAACATGTTTGAAATGGTGTAATTACTTAGTTTGTTCAGCAGAGCGTGCTCCATTGTCTGCAACTGGCGACCTGGATGAAGCGCTTTAAAGCTTAAGTCTATGGAAAATCATTGAAACTCCGTGATTGGAGCAGACAGGTCTGATGGAGCCTACAGTAGATCAGCATAGTTAGAACAGAAGGAGCTGTGACGTCTACACCACAGGAGCAAGAGAGACAGAAAGAAAGAGAAAACTGAGAGAGCGAAATGAGTAAGACAAATACAAGCCATTCCACGCATAAATTTCTTCCCGTTTGATTTGAATGAAATAAATGCAGCCATGGTCAGCATAAGAGCCTCCTTTAAAAACATTTTTAAAAATCTTAAAATTTTCTAGTCTTCTTATTTTTATAGTAACTTAGCGAAGTAATAGAATTAACACACTACTCTAAGCTAAGTGATTGTGGCACTTTGTCTTGGACTAAATGAGGTACATTTAGTACCCAGGTACCCATAAAAATAATAATAATAGTAGTAGTAGTAAAATTACACTGCATTTTGACACAGAGTTGGACAATGCAACGGTTATCAAGTAAATGCAAGTGGTTATCATTATCTACCTTAACTCACATTATTTATTAGCTAACTAAAGGTGTCTGATAAACGACAGTCATGGACAAATTACATTGCCAGGCATTTCCAGGGCCGTAACTGTAAACTCTTATAGCTGATTATTGCCTAATACATGCATGTATGAAAGTCCTTTTGTTGTAATTCACCGTTTTTTGTTGTACAAACTAGAGCCCGGCCGATATATCGTTTTGCCGATATTATCGGCTGATATGAGCCTGTCGCCGAATATGCCGTCGATATGAAAATTTTTACAGAACATAACGCAGATAACATGTTTGAAATGGTGTAATTACTTAGTTTGTCCAGCAAAGCGCTCCATTGTTTGCTACTGGCAACCTGGATGAAACGCTTTAAAGCTTAAGTCTATGGAAAATCATTGAAACTTTGAACGGCCATATCTCCGTAATGGCGCGGTGAATCCGCACCAAATTCGGGGGATCCCTTCAGCTCGAGGAACCCTCTCGAACGCGAATCGAGTGTACGTCTAGAAGCACGCTTTCGAATGAGACCACCCCCGTTACGGTGATACGGAGTTATGGTGGTTAAATTCGCGGTCCGGCGCCAACCGATCAAGCGATCCCGGGGGACTACCGACGCGTGGAGGGTGGCGTTCGTTTTGGATAATAAAGTTTACTGTTAAATTGTTAAATGCCCTGCCTCCATTACATATATTTTTCAAGTCATTATAAGTGTTTGATCACCACATTTGAGTGATCATTGCAAAAAATGTGTTTATGTATATATATTCTGTTTATGTATATACTGTATTCTATATATAGTACCAGTCAAATGTTTGGACCCTCGAATGGGAAAGTGTCCAAACTTTTGACTGGTACTGTACTATAATATACACAAAGAATATCGGCCGATATATCAATATCGACATCGAAAATTTAATTAGTATCTTTGTTTACTGCTTTTTCTTCATTTTATTTGTAATTGAATTTAAATAATTTAAACATTTTTTATTTTTTTGTATTTTGTTTTACAAGTTAATATTTATATTAACAAGTACACTCTATAACTTTTTAAATAATTTTAAATGAACTCATGATTAATTGGTTAGTTAAGCTGTTTATGCTGTAGTATCAAAATTGTTATTAGAAATCAAGGAATTTCATTGGTTTCATTTAATATTGACTGCTATAATTTCAGGAAAGGTTTAAACCCTAGTGCAAAGTCGGCATGAAATTCTGTGAATGGCCTAAAAAATTATATATATAAGCTTTATGCAATCTATTGTAATGCCCATCTGACATCAAACTTACACACAAGATTCAAAAAGTTAACGGATATGTTTAGAAATGACACTGTCAGTAATTTACGCACTCTCTGACCTCTGACTTTAGAACCTGAGAACTTCAAAGTTAAATAAAAAGAACTTGCAACATTGCACAAATGAGATCAGCCAAGCATTTTCCCTTTGTGCGCCTTTCCTGGCAGACAGATCATTTGTTTGGATAAATCTATTGTCTAAATTGAGAGAAAGACTCACAGAGTGCAGCTCACTTATTCAGGCACGTAACTAAAGGAGGAAATATGCAAACACATTCATGCGCACACACATCCAAAAGGTTCCAACATTTGCATTTGCTAATGAATGAGCGAACAGATTGAACAGGTGCGATAGTGCACCGTCTCTCCGGACGCATCCTTTAGTTCTTCCTTACCTGGCACCAATGATGTCCTTCTTCGCCAGATCAATGCCAGCAATGACCTTGACACGAAGAATACGAGATTCATTCTGCAAAACATGACACACACAGAAAAAGACCATCATGAATAAATCAATATCTTGTATGAGTCTGGAAGACAGAAAAAAAAAAATCATGAGTCCAAGTCATGAGATCGTCCTAATTTCACCTCCAGGAGAGGATGAAAAAGGAGCATCTTAAAGAAATCAGAAGGAAGCGGCAGCCAAGAAAGCTTTTGTGTTTATTGATGGACACACAGACAGAACTGTTTTAATGCTATAGCGTCAGTGAGAAATAAATCCCTCTGGGAGCTATAAATGGCTTTTAGATCCAGAACACTACTATTTTGCACCGTTTTATTGTCTTATGGCTGAATGAGGTGGTCTAAACTTCTCAGCTTGGCCTTCAAAAGCTCTCCAGCAATAGATATGACCACCATTTCACTACTCCCACTGTGCATAAGTGCATCCCGCCCCCAACATCACCTTGGCCTGCATTCAAATCGCTATTCATGCCTCTCACGATTACACAATGAGCATCTTATTCGCCCTCTCAGCTTTTGAAGCTCACCAGTCCAGAAATGACGCAATGTAGAGGGTAAAAAAGGCCCTCTTCTCCTGCTTTACCCACTTCTGCTCATGACTACATGACTGAAATTCCCTTTCTATTTATGTCTGGCGGTCTGCATTACCACGAGACATGCATCATTTGTGCAGCCAAGACGAACAACATCGACCAGTGTGACTGTTTGTATTTATTATGCCTGCCATTTATGACCTAATTATTACAAAATGAATACAATTTGGATGAGATGGGAGAAGCTGTTATATTCTGACAGGCACTAGGGTGTTACTGTCATCCCACCGGGTGGCCCTGATGGATCTGTGCTTTTCATATGAAATGCAAACAGATTTCTTTGCAGAAAGCTACTATCTGGTATGAAAAAATAAATAAATGTAACAATTTGTAAACATTTTCTGAAGTTTCTTGGGAAGCATGATAAAGCTCATGTTAACTTAATTTCTAAAAGCCATTTTAGTATGAAAGGATTCATGGCAAAAAAAAAAAAAGCATAAAATAATTAATTAAACCATAATATATATCTTTAGCAAAGTGGCGCGGAGAGCCGCTTCTGGGCCGCTTCCGAGACGTGCTGCGGCTCCGCTAGTGTAAACACAAGCATTGACTAGAGTGGCCGCGTCGGAGCTGTAACGCGCCGCAGACGCGTGCAGTGTAATAAGGGGTAAGTCACTCTCACAGTATTTTGACGTCATACACCGATCGGTCTGCTTCAAGTCGAACACACAGCTGCTGCTACCTTATGACAATAGATTTACACTTCCAATTCGGTAGTCTGTCATCGATGACAGTAGCTCATTGGAAAAGGATGGAAAATGCCCTTCATTTTGTTTGCAATAATAAATGCTGCTGCCTGCCAGCTGCACTCACCAATAAAACGTTGTTCCATGTTTTTTTTTCTATATCGTCATAAATATCGTTATCGCAAATATTCTTGAAATATTGTGATATAATTGAGGCTATATCGCCCACCCCTACTTTACAGTCACTTTCAATCAATTTAATGCATCCTTGCTGATTACTAACATTAATTTCCTTAAAAAGTAAAGATAAATAAAATGATATATACACACATATATACATATATATATTAGGGGTGGAACGATACATGTATTCGTACCGAACTGTCACGGTACAGACATCTCGGTTCGGTGCATGAGGCTTTACAACGAATACAGGCAATTCACCCTCAAACCAGAAGGGGGCGCTCGCAGCAATGCAATGCTGGTTGATAACCGGCCGCCAGCAGAAGAACAGCGAATGCCATGAGATGCGCGCTTGAAAACAAAGCCCACTAGACAGTGACCATATGCTGATTCTGAATGCGTCTCTCACAGACTGACAAAGGAGTATACTTTAAAGACTTGTGCACTTAACTGTTTGCGAAATGGAGCTTTGTGCTCGTGTATCCTACCTCTCTCATTCGGCGCAAATCCAAATATTCCATAATATTTCCATATTTGCGATGTAACGTATCTGAATGCTAAACTATTATATATTATGTCAATTATAGGCTTTGTACTTCAGTCGCGTTCCAACGGTGACACAGAGGCGGGCGCGCTGATGTTTGGTTCACTGTATTTTATTTTGATAAAGTACCAACTGCGCTGTCAAGTTAGCAATGATGGAACTGATGTGTTTTGTGTGTGTGTGTGCGTGCACGCCTGCGCGATCACTTCAAACTGTTTCCTTATAGAACCAGCAGAATCAAGTTTAAACACTTATTGTCTTATTAATAATGCATCACTGTATAAAGGTCTGCTTTTATTTGTGTACACTCACAATGAAAACAAAACATTGTGCTTTTGTAAAATAAAGAAAACAAATAGGATGCGCGTTCCGACGGTGACACAGAGCGCTTATGTTTGGTTCACTGTATTTTCTTTTGATAAAGTACCAACTGCGCTGTCAAGTTAACAATGCTAGAACTGATGTGTTTTGTGTGTGTGTGTGTGTGCCGGCATGATCAATGCTTTCCTTATACCAGCAGAATCAACTTTAAAGGGGTCATATGATGTGATTTAAATTTTTCCTTTCTCTACACTCTTATTAATAATGCATCACTGTATAAAGTTCTGCTTTTATTTGTGTACACTCACAATGAAAACAAAACATTGTGCTTTTGTAAAATAAAGAAAACAAATAGGATGTTGCTTTCTGCCATTTGAGTTTCCTTTCTGTGAACAAAATAAGCCTGTCACAAAAATTAACTGAAACTCAGTGTATGTAGGCTACATTACGTGTCGCACTGTTTTTTCCCTTGTTTACCTGTAAACTAAATCAAATATATTTCAAGAATTTATTCCTTGTATGTATATATGTACTGCAGATTTTATATATATAACAATGTAATAATATTTAGTATTTTCACATCTAGGTGTAAAAAATTGTAATGTGTACTACTGTCCGTTCAAAATAAATGAAAACAAACCGAGCATAGTAGATTCTTTTTTTTCCCCTGTTGTACCGAAATCGTATCGAACCGTGACCCCCGAACCAAGGTACGTACTGAACCGTGACATCTGTGTACCATTCCACCCCTAATATATACAGTATACACACACATATGCGTGTAAAAGAGAGAAAATGATGTTTCTCTTGCACTTGATGCTTGGTTAGCAAGCACTAAGCATTAAAATTAGCATTAGCAAGACCACTAATTACTATTTAGACATTAAGATGATGTTTTTATCCAAAGCAACTTCTGTCCCCCTGGAGTAATGTGACCTTAAATGTCTTGCTCAAGAACAAGACGGTTGATGGATCAGGATTTGAGCCTACAATCGTTTGGTTACCAGCTCAGATGTTTCACCACCAGGTTACGTCAGCCACAACAAACTCCAACGATAAGTTGACTGTAAACATCAGCAAAGAACCCATGCAATCAAAATAAAGTGGTACGTTTACTTCGTCAACAAAACTGTACCAGCTCAATTCGTCAAGTCTATAAATAAAGAATGGCTTTGCTGCAACCCTATTTAACATGTTTGACTGATATAATAATAAAGTCTCAGGGCTGCAGCTGATTTTATTTTGCGCCGACGTAAGATGGCAGGAAAGTATTGCTCAGGCTGTTGCTGTCAAGCTGGATAATTAGGATTAAGATTCCACGAGCCTCTTAGAGAGCCGAAGTTCTGACTGGCTTCCTGTGCACACCCAGCGATTAGTTCAATGACAGGTTTGGTATTTCCAAGTCATATATCATCGGGTCACAACTGGGAAACCTTGGTTTGCAGGGGTCATTCTAATGGGAGGACTGCAATACAATATGGACATAAATGCCACTTAAAACAACAGTACAAAACATGAGCAGTTCCCAAGAGCAAGCCATTAAATGTTGATGGTTCACAGTCAAATCGCTGCCTTTTTAATCCACTGTTTAGAGTGTATGCAAATTCATTAGAACACAGTCTATTTGATAGATTATGTATTGTTGTATTACGTGTAAAGTAGAAAACAGCCTGACTTTGGATATCAATACTGGTGAGATTCAGTTTTCTGAACCAACACTAATAACTCAAATAGTAAGGAATTTATCAAGTTAATGTTTAATTTTTTTCTTTTAGGCTGGATTTATTTGATCAACAAATACAGTAAAACAGTATCACAATTTGAATAACTGTTTTCTGTTTTAATATATTTTAACATTTTATTTATTCCTGTGATGGCAAATCTGAATTTTCAGCATTATTACTCCCGCCTTCAGTGTATCCTTCAGAAATCATTCTAATATGCTGATTTAATGCTCAGAGACATTTTTAGAATTATCAACAGTTCTGCTGCTTAATATTTTTGAAGAAACCATGATACTTTTTTTTCTTTCAGAATTATGGTCTATGATGTGATTCATAAGCACATGAATCACATAGATCTATGCTCTCACTGTACAGAGTTATTATTAAAGGGCTTCTCACGTTACACATTGACCGTTTTTAACCTGGCTAAACACCCAGATTTCCAAAGCATTTGTATAGATGCTTCCATCAGCAGTTACATAATCAAGACTGCTGAGCTTAGTGGAAGCATTTCCATATCAATGGTGTTCATAATAGTATGGCACCTGGTGTCATCAGAACTAAATCTGCCTTAATGAAAGGTTTACTGTTAGTGCTTCTAAGCATGTCATCATGCTCATTTTGCAAAACACTTTTCAGGAGCCCTAAGGTATGTCACATTTCAATGCAATAAACAGGAAATGAGAAACCTGCATGTGACTGCATTGAAACTTCAGTGAGTGTGAAATTAGAATTCTGCCCAGCAGGCCACTAGCAATGTATTATCACTTAAGATCCATTTTGAATAGATAATTCTGATTTCAAAATGTGCTATTACTTTTCTAGGTAACAAGACTTATGATTTTTGTCTGGCAGATGATAAAACAAGCATTAAATCTCATTATGTTTGATCAAAAATACAGTAAAACAGCAATATCGTGAAATATTATAGCAAAACTTTTTTCTCTTTTAATACATTTTAAAATACATCATTAATTCCTGTGATGATAAACCTGAATTTTCAGCCTCATAACTCCAGTCTTCAGTATCCTTCAGAAATCATTCTAATATGCTGATTTGCTACTCAGGAAACATTTCTTAAGTTTGCAAGTTCAAGATTCCCTTTAAACAACATACTTTATCCCAGGTTGCTCTATGGTATCCGTAGGGATGGGCAGAGGGTGAAACAGCCCAGATTTGACCCGCAGCGCCCCTGACCTTCTGTAAGCATGTGGCTGCTATGTGCGGAATGCTTAATTAGGGCCTATTGTTTAGTTCTACTTGGTAACTCAGTTACTCTCTGAATTGCACACAGAATTCAACACACTTTCTAATTCCAACGCCAAGACATTCCATGCCCTGAATTCCAAATTCTAAAATTCCATCAAACACCACTAAACAAATGGTGCATTCCGAAATATTAAAGAACAAACGCTTCTCTATTCTCGTGATTCTTTCCAACTTAGAGTTAATAGACACAAACTGAAAAGCTTTTGTATCAAATACTTCAAAAATGTACAAATCCAAACGCTGACCTTGGCTATAAAAGAGAGAGTGCAGCGCACATTTATTCAATACTGACAGTGAAATAGAACAGCATTTCAAAGAAAGAGCACTTCAACATTAGCAAACAAGAGAATATCATTCAATTTAAATAACTAAAAACACCTCATTTCTGATATCTATATGGGTGTTTGTATACTCCTCCTTAGGGATAAAGTACATCTATCAAAAGAGGAAATTGTTTTATATTTGACACAGTAACTGTAGATTTTGTGGCATTTGGCTGTTGTGTGATGGTTTCCGGGTTTTCTAATTCCATCTTGGGACCTCAGCACAGAGTCATGTCACACGGAATGAGAAAACATGATTCGGATGCAACTACAGCTCATGTATTTTTAATGAAGATGATGTGACAGCATGTCGCTGTATCACATCCCACGCTCATGATGCTGAGAGTGAGTGCGTAGTCGAGTAAATGTTGCGTGTCCTCCCTCAATGTAAAACAGATGCATTTTAGCACACTCACGGGCCAAATTACAGTCTATGAGCTAATCAGAAGGTAACGGTAATTTTTTTTAAACTGGACACTCCCAGAAGATTATCAAGCAATTTATGATTTATGCACTTTACCTTAATTTGCTTTTGTGTTCAAATTGTGTTTTGTGTTTAATCATGCTTTTGTGTTCAAAAACATCAATGGAGCCAAAATAGACCAGCAATTGAAAATTCCGAGACCAAATGCAACAACATGGTTGATGTGAATGGAAACTAGTGAGCACTCATACACTCATGAGATTTGATTGGTACGTTCAAGATTCAGCAAGGAAACATTGGTCGAAAGTGACAGAAAAGCTTTTAAAATGTTACAAAAGATTCCTATTTAAAATAAATGTTGTTCTTTTGAACTTTCCATTCATCAAAAAAAAAGCAATGCATCACTGCTTCCACAAACATTAAGCAGCACAACTGTTTTCAACATTGATAATAAAAAGACGTTTTTAGACGTTTAATCTAGAAGTTTCTTGAGCAGCAAATCAGCATATTAGAATGATGTCTGAAGGAACATATGACACTGAACACTAATGATGCCAATGAAGAAGTAATGCTTAAAATTTGGCTTTGTCATCACAGGAATAAATTACATTTCAAAATAAATTCAAATAATAAACACTTATTTTAAATTGTAATAATATTTCACAATATAATATATAATAATGTTTTTACTGTATTCTTGATCAAATAAACATCCTTGTTGAAGGTAGAGACTTCCCAAAAAAAAAACATTTTAAAAATCGTACCAAAACTTTGAACAGTATAGTGCATATATAATATACACTGGTCAGCAATTCATTGTGCATGTCTAATCTAAACAGGGTTATCCAATAAATCTGTAAGATAACTCAACAGAAGTAAAACAAATGGGGTCTAAAATTCCACAAGAGTTCTGTCAATAAGAGGTCTATTGGAATTGCCAGACTGTTCCTATGGGCGAGTTTGTCATTCCTGTGTACAGACAGTGTCTTAGGAACTGAGATCTATAGGAGCAGAAAGGCACGATCAAGCCCAGCAAAGAGACAGGAACTCAGGGAGCAAGTGATGGGATCCCACAGGACTGAGAAAATGTTGTGTGGTAAACAGACCCGCTGACAGGGCTGAGTCCCAGGCAACTTGATGGATGCCTGTCACATACTAATGAAACGACGCATGTCATCTGTGTGTGGTGCATGTCTGTGTGTTTCATGCGATGATTTGGGATAACACGTCAACATGATGGTTCTTTGGAGGGAATTTGATTGAATTCATTACGACTGACGAAAATTGGTTCATGTAAACACCAATTTTGCAGCAATTTTACAGTGACAAAGAGACTCAATATATTATCCATTCTCAATAAGAGTTGGTGATTTTCAGTGACAAACAACAGAGACCCTTAGAGATACAACAGAGTTAAGCAGACCACAACGCTATGCTTAAGGAAAGTGACAATGTGCCAACCGCCAAGGAACGTTACTACTTGAAAACAGCACAGCAAATCGCCAGCCTCCAACCATTTACAGATTTCGCTGTTATTAGTCAAGCAGGCATGATTATTTCCCAATTTGATCATGTCAAAATGGCAAACATCAGCCAATTTATCAATATGTGACAAGAAAATGCTACTTCAAATCATGATATAACAAAAGTAGTGTCTTCGGCAATGTGCATCTGAGTGAAATTTATTACCAGAACTAAAAGAAGAGGGTGAGCAATTGGCTCAACCCATAAGTTGTTGATTAGAAGGAGGCAGATCTGAATGCAAGCTTGTCAATTGGATAAATTGGCTTTTAAAAGAAATGAGTTTAAGTTGACTGTTCACTAGGAAAAAAGTCTATTTCATCAGTCTATTATTTTTATGACATTTTACAATTACAAGGTCAAAACAAAAACAAAAAACATGCATGGATGAATCATTCATAATAAGATCAATAACACATGCATTTAGAGAATGGATAGGGTGAAATTTCATTTCCTTCTCACTTTAATCAAATCAAGTTTACACTCATCAGGAGAACTTCCTCAGATAGTGAATCAAGGGATGTTCAGTCTTTCTCCTGCTGTTTAACATCCAAACACAAACATATATTGATCATCCGCCGTTTAGCCTGCTGATGAACATCTAGCTATAGTAACATTCCTATCTTTGTTTACATGAAACAAATCAAGACCCAAGTAAAAACCGTGCCAAAATTATTAATTAACTTCACCTAGTCTTAGGTTACAGTTTCGGGGGTTTGGACTAAAAGTTCTTCAGTACTTTTCCACCTAAGAACCTAGTATGCTATACGTGCTAGGTCACATATCTTTGTAGAAATTGCTGACTGGCGAATTTAATGTGATACAGACTTAAATATGTACCTGCCAACTTGTACGGACAGTAATACATGACTAATATCTCTCCTTTAGACTCAAATATCAAAGCCTAGCCTACATAAAAAAAAAAATTTAAAAAAAACTTCACTGATATTTACACCTATAAACACGTGGCCTTGAACTATATCACCATCAGCATTAAAAACTAAAAGACAGATATAGTAGGCCAGAAACAGAAGCGGTAATGACTAAAAAAAAACATTAACATGGATCCAAATGAATCATAGGCGAACACCTGCTTCCTAAGGCGGTCTTCAAGCTCTCAAGACAGTTGACCTGAATTTTCAGGGGTTACACCGGGGCCCTCTTATGACAAACAACGCGGTGTTGTGGTTGCTACAAAATCTGTTGTAACATCATTAGAAACACCGTAACACTGGTTTCATCGAGTGACTACAGATAAATCTTGCTTATGATGCATTCATCTTTGGCCCACATGGTTCCTTCAAGGCAATATCATGAAAGCTATAAATGTGTTGATACAAATAACTCAAAATGACTAATACAGAATCAAAATCATCCATCATTCAGCAAATTATACTGTCAATGTCAATAATAACAACATCCAAAAGCGTCTCAATTATGGTAGAGCATTAAACAGACCCAGAAATCTTGACATGTCACCCTGATATTTGACAAATGAGCTGTCAATCATAAAAAGCAGCACATTATGCCTTAGATGACTTCAAACTAGAATAGTATTTGATTTAAATTGGGAGATATTAAGATTTGATGACTTCTTTACATTTCCTAGCACTAGCTATCCTATTGAATCGTATGGAAACGTGGGAAGCACAAGCTGATGGCCAGTATTGGCATTTAAATACTGACTAACCTTCATATTTATATTTCTAACAATAAAATAGTTCTAATAGGCTTAATGAAACTGATCCTGTTTATTTGTCACAATGGAGATTCATAAAAACTGAAATCAGGTTCTGAAAAACAATAAACAGTATTAATATGGTGGGAGGCATTCACTGTTTAAAGATGGTATGGTTTAATAAAAACAGTACTTACTTCATCCTCTGAGAGTCCATAAATGGGTTCAAAATTCGTAGCCATAAAGCCAAAGGGCAATTTAATATACACATACACATACATACACACACACACACACACACACACACACACACACACACACAACACACACACACACACACACACTCGTGTGTGCTGGAACAATAGCAAAGAGTGTCCTCCTCCAACCTCCTATGAACGTAAGTTGATCCAAAGCTACGAAGTCTTGAGTCCAAAAACGAATATCCTTTTAAACCATACCGTGACAGAAAATGTACGTCCACCGGTTTAATCTCATTTAGCGGCTAAAATTCGGTGAATACACGCTTAATTAATTTCCCCAACAATATGATTTCCCCTCATCAAGTGCAAACGCGAATCATTCACTTCCTCCCAGGATCCGAAACACTGAAATTAACTGAAATGAGTGACAACTTATCGCGCCAATCACAGGGTTTTCCGAAACTCCAGGAGGACAGACTATCCAATCCGTGTTGACTGAGGGCGGGGCGATGTTGTTGCACTTTTGTGGAGTAATCAGGGATGGGTAGTTTCCTAGATTCCAATATTGGATTCATAAGAATTTGACGTATTATTATATTTTATGCATGTCTGTGGGTCTGTATGTATATTTTGTGTTAATTAATACTTAGTTTATTTAAAAAGCCAGTAATAAGCTGTTTGAATCTTGCAGCTGGTAACAGGACTCTTTTAGCAGTGCTCTAGCACCCTCTATCTATAGTATAGAAGAGCGATACTGCCAACATGTGCCAATTTATGATTTACACCCAACACTGGACAAAGTCCAACTGTTATGTATGCATCATGATTCATCGTACATGTGAAATAACCCAGAGGAACGGAACTAAAAGATGTTTTCTGCTGGTTTCTACTGGTGTTTTATTGCTCTTGGCTTTTCTACACTGAAGGGATGTTTAACAGACTGAAAATGAACTTGAGGATCAAACGGGGATATTTTAGAGGTAAAAATCCAGGGTTGCGAAATTGTAAAGGAGTTTGGAATTAAAAAGTTGAAAAATCTTAGTCGTTAAATATTCTCCTAGATTTATAAATACAGGACTCTTTTTCACATGGTCGAACAATGTGCCAAAAAGCAAAATATTCAAAAAATGAATTATAATGAATAATAAATAAAATGATTAATATAAATAATTTGATGAATTTAATTTTTAAAATGCCATAAAATAATAATTGTTAGTGTTAAAAATTAGTATTTTGAAAATACACAAAAGTTGGACAGGTGCTTCCAAGGTCAAAGTTCACTGGAAGAGTCTGTTCAAAAGTGCAAATGCTTCCTTCCACTTTGAAAAGTACCTTGATTAATTGACATGTTAATGGTGTAACACTGTATAATGATTTTAACTGAAGAAGCAATATTTAATGGTGTGTGTGTGTGTGTGTGTGTGTGTGTGTGATCAGTGATGTTTGTTTTGAGATGCTATTGCCACCTGTTGAAAGAATTTGAGAATTTGTCACTGTTGTTATTGGCTCTGGTGTTACAACCATTGCTTCATTGTGATGTAAAATATAACAAATAAGGGATTTTATAGGAGAAAACTGAATTCAGAACTTGAATGTGAGGACACATTTTGTAAGCCAGAAAGTAAATGTATTTTGAGAATGACTTTCATGATTTTAGCATTAGGCTAATACATAAAAGATTTCTATGAAACCCCCTCTATTGATTTGTTTAAGAGAAACATAATTGCCAGTTTAAGCAATAGTTATGAAAACTTCTAACCATCCAAAGTGTGGTGTATGAAATTTAGAGAGCTAAATAAATATATTTGTCTAAGCAACATCTTGTTCAATGGTCCTGTCCATTTAATCTGATGCAATTCAAGAGTTTCAGAGTAGCCAATGCCATGTTCCAACTCCAATACGAAAGGAATAACCATTTGCTTCCAGTGTATTGTTTGTAGGTGTATCTTGCAATGCATTCCATAGATTTCTTAACTCACTGACTCACTCAGTGCAAATATTATCTGATTGGAACTCATCAATCTTCTCTGGCTTGTCAGTTCTTGTTATGAACTAACACCTAGAGTCAACTGTAGCAGGTCTGAAGGGAGTTCTACATTATTTGACTTATATGGGTAGTTAAACTTTTAACCAAAAGCAGTGTCCTACAGTGAGACTTTTTTTCTTTTTCTAGTTCTTGTATTAATATTATGCAGTTTATATTAATTTAGATTACTTTGTCACACTACAAGACTATTTAAATGATCTACAATAAAGCTCAAATAAATGGTGACCAGGCAGTTACAGCACCTAAGATACCATATATATATATATATATATATATTTACCCTTATACATCTTATTTTGCAATGCATAAGTAAGCTATTTTCTTTGAATTTGCAACGCTTCTGATTCATTAGCCGCTATGAGCAAATAACTAGTGCAGTAAATAAGAACGAATAACCGTGCAGTAAACGATAAAACTGCACTACAAACCAGTGTGATTATAATAGTGAATTAAAACTACATAATAACATAGCCTACAAACCCTACAAAAAAATACAAATATTTGCAATATTAAGCAGCATAATGGACTACTTTACAGGTAAAATAACTGTAAGAATGACACCGGAAGTCTCACACATTCAAGTTACAAATGGCCAAATGCAATTACGCAAAAAAATACGGTGGGTACATTCACATACATTTCAATGTATTAATCTTAAATGTAGAAAATAAAGTTTATATATGTTATTTTAGATGTTTCTCTGTGCACCAGTAGATGTCCTCATATTACCGCATAAAATCTTCCTTTGAACTAAATGAGTGGTAATTCTTAAAATCAATGTGGTATAATTAACTAGGACTTTACAAAGTTGTCAGCTCATAAATCAGTTCATGTGACTGGTTAATATCAAATAAAACATTTGCCAAATATATAGTTAATTAATAGATCAATTTAGACTTGCAGCATGGTGTATTATATCACTTTGAGAATGTGGTACTGAATTCAATAAAGCGTTTAAGATGCTTCTATTGACTCAAGAGCGTGATACAACATTAAATATAGACTAAAAGCTGTGAGTAATCTTCTGATAACCTTAAACTACTGAGCTAGGATAAATGTAATGGGTTACTTATGCCATTAGGCATTATGTCAATGTTAGTTCACGTTAAAACTGCTGGTTTTGTTAAAAAAAATCCATAACACACAGTGGCAACTCTTGTTCCAGATGGTAGAATTACGTAACACCAAAACACTATGAGTTAGACAGAGGCTTTTTTTTTATCTCCATTGCCTCACTCCCTCACCCACCCGACCATGAGGGCAGAATCAGTCTCTGGTTGGGAAAGAGTTACTTGCTGGTAGGCCTGTCGCAATAATCAATATATCGACTTATCACGCAATATATGTACATGACCTCAATCATTTTTGGTGACGCAATATATTGCACATTATAAATTAATGTCACCATGTTTTGTACATTCCACTTGGGCCTGTGTCTTTTGCAGCTTCTCGTACATAACATGGTGTAGTCATGAGGTGCTAGTTCACATTTAAAAATTGCTTCTACAAAAAATATTTCATCTGCAGATATTGCCTTGTTTAGGGATCTGTGCCTTTGTGCATACGGACATCTGACTGCTAAGTAGTGATTGTGTTTTTCAGTAACCGTGTGCACCCTTCATTTACAGAGAAAAGAAGGTCAGGGAAAAATCTGTGGATGGAAAAATCTCCATACAAGTTCTTTGTGCATTTTTCTTTTTTTCTACTTGTTACTTTGCACTTTTTGTTAGAAAATGTTTATTCACTATTTATTCAAGTTTTTTAAGTCATCTAATATTTTGATACTTAATTTCCACGATCTAAATATTCTTAAAAATTAAGTTTGTTGTCATTTGGAAGTGTGTAGGCCTTCTTGCATTATTATGCTGTTACATTATGATTATATATTCAGTGGCATAAAATGGTCTTTAAAATGACAATAATATCGCTTATCGCAATTATTTCTGGGGCAATATATTGCACAACAAAAAGTTGTTATCGTGACAGGTCTACTTGCAGGAGGGTTTTCGGATGTGGTCGATGGAAATCTCACCGGTGCCAGGTGCGCAGATGTGGAAAGTTCTAGAAAGAAGGGCACAGATGAACAAAAACACATTGGGAGATTGAGATGAGATTCATTAGAAGCTGCATTTAATCTTCCTGTTTTTTGCACACCACTGGTTTTTAAGCCCTTCATCACACACAACCAAACATGACCCCGTTAATGACTTCAATCACTCCTAAAGCAGAAGGGGTCAGAGTTCATCAGCAGGACCATGATGTTAATGGATGTAGACAGATTCAGCATAGTGGTTTGATATTTGGTTAGCCCAAATATCTAAATTCTGGATTTATAGCAGCATTAAAGAGAAGATAAATGCTGTCATTTACAGTAGGGTAAGAGGAAGGACTTTTATGTATTAGTCATTTATTCTTTTCTTTGATGCCACAGACAGTGGCTGATCATCTATTCTCAAAAGCATTTGTGAAATAGGTAAATTATTCAAATGTTTTACAGGTATTCAAAGAACCAGAATTGACATCAGGTTACTACAAAAACTGTAACTGGGACGCAAGACTAATCTTTTGGGAGAGTGTTGGGATGGGTAAAATGTACTGTTGTACAGAAGATATGGCAATAAAACATGACTGACAGTGGAGGAGAGCACGTGGCAGTGCACTTGTTCAGTTTTGGACAGCTGGCATGAGCCTGACATGCAGTCAACTCTTTCTGGCCATGATGATGGCTCAATCTCACAGATTAGATGAGTGGATGTAAAAAAAAAAAAAGAGAGATCTGGGCCTGTGTGCACATTAATCCAGAAGTCAAATGCATGAAAAGAATGCAGAACATAACAAAACATAACCGATCAATAATTTGGGGTCAGAAATATTTTTGTGTCTATTTTTAAAAGAGGTCTTTTATGCCCATTTATTTGATCAAAAGTAAAGTATATTATTACAATTTAAATAACTATTTTCTATTTTTATATGTTTTAATGTTTTATTTATTCCTGTGATGGCAAAGCTGTATTTTCAGCATCATTA